TCTTCTTCCATTGACAATAATTCATATTATCGTCGCAATGTTTGCAACTTAACGACCTTAACTTTTTCGCCTCCTTCATAGTACTTGACAAGAATATTCCACGCCTCCTTTGCCGACTCAGCATGAGCGATTCTGTCGAAATTATTCGTATCAACCGCCGATTGGATGTAGAACGCCACCTTGCAATCCTCCATATTGGCATATTCCTTGTGAGCGATTCTATGTGCGTTGGTTGCATCTTCACCAAGCGCAGGAACACCATTAGTAACCACTTCTAGGGTTTCTTGAAAAGCAAATAGATATTGCATATGTTTTATCCATCGAAACCAATTCTTGTCATCAAGAGTTGAAAGAGAGTTTGGTAAATTTCCATTACCATTCATCTTTGTAGTGATTGATCAACAACAACCCACGATCCCGGAAACACGATCTTTGACGTGTGATTCTTGAAAACACGGTCAAAAATCTAACCGGAGCTCTAGATATCAATTTGTTAGTGCGTGAGGCACTTTTAGTGAAGAGAAAAAGAAAGAATAAGAAAATAAAAATCTATTGAATAAATTATTATGAATAATAATACATACTATGACTATTTATATACAACTTTAATTGAATTTGAGTTAACACAAATTAAATTATATTAAAATATTAAATCTAATCAAATAAAATTTAATATTTCAACAAGAAATACCAAAAACTGCAACACAACAAAAACACCACTTATACTAATAATTGTGACCAAAGAAAGTATAAAAAAAGAGGTGTTAGTTGAAAAAAAATTAATTAGCAAACTAAATTGGTTGTTCTAATTATTGCAATAAATATTTTAAATTATAAAAATGTATATGACAGTAAGATGGAGAAGAAAATAAAACTGTAATATATCAATTCATATGAATGAAAATGTATAGTTACAATAAATTAGGAGGAGAAAATAAATTAAGAGAAGAAAATAAATCTAGTTTACATATTCACCATTTTTTTTAGTTTATAGTAATTTTGAATTTATATTATTTAATATATTTTATTAATTTAAATGAATGAATATTATTTTTAATTTTAAAAAATAAAATAAATTAAATGCATCCAATCACAATGAAAACGTGTAGTTACACTGAAATGAAGAAATAATAAGAATTTTTTTTACTATAGTACCCACTCTTGAAAATTATATACAATAATATCCTATTTTGAAAAAAAGAAATTTTAACATGTCCTCTGCGTAATACATGATCATCTATTAGATTGGTGGGCAGATGAAAATGTTGTATGTATGAAGGTGTTCGTCCAATGAAATGGCGAGCATTTGAGTATTTTTTTTTTATTTTTTCAGATTTTTTTATTATATAAATAGTTGTATTTAATAATTTTAATTATTAAAAACATATTTTATTAATTTAATAATTATATATTAGTTAAAAATAATTTTTTAGTCAAAAATAATTTTTTATTTAATATAAAATTAAATATAATAAAAATATATTAAAAATCAAATATACTCAGAAATTATTTTTAATAATCATTTTTAAAAAAATGATCAAAAAGATTATTTTAAAAAATTATTTAATTAATAAAATATGTTTTTATTAATAAAATTACTATTATAATTAATTAAACAATATTAAAACCAGAAAGAAAAAAAAAATGATATTCCTCAATTTAGTGAATGAATATCTATATGCATAAATTCTATTTGTCTGCTCGTCAACCCAATAGACAAGTACGTAGGTACTGAAAATAGGGTATCTGAGAAATTTTTTTTCAAAGTAGAGGTATTTTGATATATAATTTTCAATGGTGGAGTAGATCAGTAAAAAATTCAATAATTAGATGTTTTCTACCACTTCGTATGAATGGAAATGGGTAGTTACAGCATAAAGGAGATGAAATTAAATGCATTTTATCACTTTTTTTGTTTTTGAGTAAAAGAAACTTTATATTATTTTAGAAAAAATAATGGTAAGTATAAGCGGTCCTCTTTCGGATCCAACCACTAACACAAATTAAATAGGACTAATAGAGTCAACAAAAACTAAAGATAATTATCCTCCATCTAACATAAGAATAACTATGTATTTTTTTAATTTTCTTGGTATTTTATCCTCTGTATACCAATGTATTTATAACTTTCTTTCCACTATGGTTGTATCTTCATTCATATCAAAAAAAAATTTATTCCTAATCATCCAAAGTTCATATATAGTTTTGGATGCCGCCATTTTAATGACAGCCGCCCTTGCTCCTTTTCCCTTTGTGTTCTGCATCAGCCAATTAAGTTCGCCTTGCCAGCCCCCCGGGATACGATGGATCTGCATCCACTGTAGGACTTCCTTCCAAATACTTCTCATTGTTTCACATTCGAAGAATAAATGATTTAGAGATTCATCATTCAAACAGAAACAACATTCAGTATTTTCAATCACGCCGAACCTAGCTAACCTGTCCTTAGTTGCTAATCTATCATGACAAGCCAGCCACATAATAAAGTTAGCGCGGGGTCGTGCGTTATTACCGTAGATCAAGTTTGCCCATCTTACCTTATGTCCATCTTCTTGTAGGGATTTGTAAACTTTGCCAACTTTAAGGTTTGGATCCTCCATGATTTCTGTCAGCTTCCCTTTTGTGGTGAGATCATCCCTCTGACTAAGAATGACCTTCATAATCCAGGAATCATTGCTGGTACACTGTATATCCAGTAGACTTCTGTTTTTGATGTAGTATGCCTGTATCCATCTCCCCCACAGCGAGTCTTCTTTCCCACTCAAATTCCAAAGCAGTTTCATTAAGTTGACATTATTCCACACTTCAATATCTATGATATCTAGTCCACCATAGCCAACTGGTTTGCAGACCTGTTTCCAAGATACGGGTGACTTACGGTTACCTGCAAAACCGCCTGTCCAAAGAAAAATCCGGCAAATTGTTTCAATTTTTTTAAGGACACCTTTAGGGAAGGGAAAACAGTTTAACCAATAGTTGGTCGTCGCAAACATCAAGATTTTTATAAGCTATAATCGCCCCGCATAAGTTAGTAACCGCGCTGTCCAGTGTTGTACTTTTTCAACAATTTTGTCAATCAACGGAGAATACTGAGAAATAGATAACTTCTTACTCGTTACGGGTACCCCTAGATACCGGAACGGTAACTGTCCCATTTGGAAATTTGATGCCATACAAATATCTTTCTTCGTCTTCTCATCTACACCAGCAAGATAAATTTGACATTTTTGTGGATTCACAACTAAACCCGTGGCCTTCAAGAATTTGGCATATACCGCCATCATTAAATCGACTGAATTCTTGTCGCCTCTAGAGAATAGGAGGAGGTCGTCCGCAAAACACAAGTTTGTAATATTCAGTTTCTCGCATTTCGGGTGATAGTTGAAGTTACTATTTTTTTGCATTTTGAAGAGGTAACGGTTCAAACATTCCATTACAATGATAAAAAGCATAGGCGAGATTGGGCCACCTTGGCGTAGACCCCTTTTTGCTTTCATAGTATCAGAGTGGTATCCATTAACATTGAATCTGTATGATACCGTCGAAACCACAGTCATGACCCAATCAACAAATTTTCGCGGGCATCCTACCTCAAGTAAAATCTTATCTAACGCATTCCAATCCACCGTATCGTATGCTTTTTGGATATCCATTTGAAGAAGGCATCTGGGGGAGATTCTTTTCCTTTCATATCCCTTGATCAACTCATGAGTGAGGAGTATATGATTGTGAATTTTTTGTCCCTTTACGAATGCAGCCTGGTTATCACCCACAATTGCTCCTAATACCATGGCCAATTGATTAGCTAGTACCTTTGAGATGATTTTATATAAGGTACTGCAGCAAGCAATCGGTCTATAATCCTTCATTTCCTTCGCTCCACTGTGTTTAGAGATAAGCGTGACAATTGAGTAGTTCATCGCCTTATATATTTGATTGGTATTAAAAAAATCATTAATTGTTGTTATAACATCTGCCTTCACTATCTGCCATGCCTGTTTGAAAAAATAGGCTCCAAAGCCATCTAGACCCAGCGCCTTTTCATTTCCTATACCATCTAGCGCATCCTTGATCTCTTTTTCTGTAACCGGTTCACTGAGCATTGTTCTCTGGTTTTCAGTCAGCTGGCTGCCCGCACGCATTGCACTAGTGTCAATAGCTTCAAGGTCGTTGGAACGTGTCCCCATGAGTTTAGTGTAGAACTCTAGCACTGCATTTTCCAGTCCTTTTTGATCTGTAGCATAAGAACCATCCTCCATTTGAACTTTCTTCATGGTTTTGAATTGTTGTCTCATTTTAATTGAGGCATGAAAATATTTGTTGTTACCATCACAGTGACGTAACCATTCAATTTTCGCCCTCTGTTTCAGCATACTCTCTTCCTTTTCCTGCCAATCCAAAAGTTCTGCAGTATATTCCTTAACCTGTCGAATTTTGTCGCCATTTAGCCTGTTATGTGCAAGATCAGTCTGGGCTACTGTTAGCTTCTCACGGGTCTGCAGAATTTTGTTAGTAACATCAGCCAAAGGTTTACTAAGTGACTTTATATGTGGTTGCAACCTCAATAATTTCCTCCAAACAATAAACATTGGACTACCTTCCATTGGCATATTCCAACTATCACTGACAGTGTGCCGGAAACGATCCAAGTCCGCGCTGCAATTTATGAATTTAAAAACTCTGTTTGCTCTAGTTTTCGGCATGTTGTCATTCAGTATCAGCATGGAGTGATTGGAGATGCTAGGGTTCTCATGAGTTAGAGTCGTATTATCGTTTTGTTTCATCCAATCCGTGTTTCCCAACACATGGTCAATCCTCGAATAAATCGCATTGTGTTCCTGTTTGTTGGACCAGGTGAAATAATCACCTTGATGATCTAGTGCATACAGTTCAGTCTTGCTCATCATCTCAATTAAATCCCTGTATTCGTTCTTTGTCACCTCATTCCCGCCAATCCGATCTCCGATCTTCATAACATTGTTGAAGTCACCGATTTACATCTAAGGCCCAGTCTGGTTTGCACAGATTTTCTCAATGTCTTGCCATAACTTCTTTCTATGATGCAGTTGATTTTGCGCATATATTGTCGTCATCCAGAACATGAAATTATCATTAGCATCATTCACCTTACAGTGAATCATTTGATCCGTGCTCGCAACAAATTCAACCTGTCTGCTGTTGTCATCCCAGTGGATCCAAATTTGGCCATTATCATGTTGGGCATAATTATCCATGTAACTACCACACATCTTTAATTTCTTTCTAATTCCCACAACCTTTTCCTTTTTCACTCTAGTCTCAATTAATACAGTTATTGCAAGGTCAAGGTTTCGAAGACGGAAGCTGACCTTTCTAACCTTGCCCGCTTTATTTAGCCCTCTCACGTTCCATGAAACGATCATGGAACATCCTCTAAGAACACTGAGGCATAACTATCCCCAAGTGTTGCAACCAGGTTTCCATGTTTCCTTTTCACGTGAGTCGCTCTAGGATTCTTCCCAGCACTACTGTATTGACTTTTGTCTTTATCACGCCTCCGAACTTCTGTCCAGCCTTCATATTCTCCCTCATCTGTCTGTTGTTCATTTGTTGGTTGGAGGATTGGTCCATTAGTAATCTCAAGTCCCATCTGCTGTTGGACCTGTGCAATAGGTTGTTGTGTCGGAACATTCACAAGCAATACTCTCTGGTGTATTGGTGTCTTAAGAACAGGCTCCTCCTGAGGTTTTTTCAATTGGTACTCATTTGTTTTCTTCTCTTTTGGGGCCCATTTTTTCACCTGATTTTCCTGCCGTTTGTCCTCACATCTATGTCATATTCGATGACATTTCATACAATATGGTGGTCTCCACTCATATTCCACCATTTGCTGCATCTTTTCTCCGTTGTTGTCCGTAATGGTTATTTCCTTAATCAGCTCATGAATGATGTCTATTTCGACTAGTACTCTAGCATATGAAATACGATATCTGTTGGCGGTACATTCATCAGTCATTAGCGGGATTCCGAGTACGCTTGCTAGCTTTGCCAAGGATTTTTCCCCATAGATGGAGTGGCAGTTGGGGAAACTGGACCCAAACCGGGATGGTACGCAGCATATCAGTCTTCAAATTGAAATTTGGCTTCCATTCATCTAGTAACATCGGCATGTTTCATATGGTATACGGTCCCTTCAATAGAACAATGTCTCTTTCTTTATGCGAATGAAATCTCAGAATAAAATAGCCTTCGTTGTTGTACTACATGTCAGGTAACTTGACGAAATTCCATTGTTTGGTCATGAACTGCTTGACACCATTCATGCTTAATTCACCACCAATAACATACATTATCAAAGAGGTTTCCCAGAATTTCACCTCATTGATAGTATCTGCTTCCTCAATTATAACCTCAGGTACTCCATTGACAATTGTTGGTGCTATGAATTTGAGTGATAATCCATTACCAGGGTTGCGATTTCCGCTAATGACGTCAACCCAGAGTTTTCTGGGTTCGTTTATCCCCTTTTCTGCTTCTAGGGTTTCATGGATTTCCTGGTCCATTGTAATTGCTCCTACTGCTTTCTCTTTTCCATGTTCCATTGTTGTCTTAGATGTTGAATCTTTGTCGCCTTGCTGATCGTCGTTCAGATTATCAGATGATGTTTCCGGCGTTGCCACCACCTTTGGTGGTCGTCCGCGCCTGCATATCGCTCTCTCCTTCATTTTATCACTTTTGCTAGGGATGAAAACGTGTAATGCTGCACTTCCCCAATTGTCTTTTAATTAATTATTGCATTCAACTCCCAATCACTTTGGATGGCTACAAAATATTTTCTCAGTACCAATTTATAAGAAAATTCAATTTTTTCTCACTAGTTAAATTTTTTTTAAACTTTTGTGTATTTTTTGAAATATATTTTATAGGATATTGTAAAAATAATTTCAATTAATTGTTGTTTATGAAAAAATGAGAGAGGAAATAAATTAAATATAACATTTAATTTTATATTGAAAAAGATATATTTTAAGAATAAAATATTTAAATGAAGTTAAGTTGATTTTTTTTAATAATTTCTAAAATAAAATGTCAGTTTCACTTGGTAGATGGTTGGTTTGAATCCACGCCCATCAACCTCCTTCTCCTAGGATCGAAACTAGCATCTATGGTAGCACTTGAAAGAACAGTTTAAAAAAAACAAAGTGTTTTTCTTATAAACCGTTAAAGAGAGAGTAATCTATAACATATATTTATAAACCGTTAAAGAGAGAGTAATCTATAACATATATAAAGATAAAACATAATGTTTTGGTGTAACCTATTTCTCTGCCAATTTTACCCTTACTTTAATATATAACTTATTCAATAACTTTCATTAACTTTCTACATAATTTTTTATCTAATTTTTTGCTATTAACTTTCTATTTAAAATTAATATTAGATAAAAAAAATATCATTTAAAATTTTATGTGTACATTAAAAAAAACGAACAGACGGACACGTGAGTAATATTTAATGTTAAAATCTCAACCTTTAAATTGTTTTTGCAAATTCTATCTCTTAAATTTAAAGAATTAATAGTCACATCATCACATTTTAATGACTAAAAATATATTTAAAGAAACTTAATGATTAAGGAATCAATAAAAGACATTCATAATCTATTTTTTTATGACATTTTTTTCATTATATTAGAAAATAGAGTTGCATTAGAAAGTAAAGAAGAGAAAAAGTTAAAATAAAATAAAATAATTATATTTTATAAAGGACACACTAAAACTATTACCGCCTATATTTTTTTTATATAAGAGACAATTTACTTTTTAGATTTATTGAATAATCAATGTATCGAATCTATAAATCAATCAAATATATTAATTATTCAATAAATCTAAAAAATAAATTGTCTCTTATATAAAGGAACAAATGTGATTCTTTTAAAATAACATATATTTAAAAAAAAATATGTTATTAACTTGGATTTCAAAAAATTTACCAATATGCCCTACATTCAACATGCATGTGCCATATGATATGGCTGAAGCAATGGAAAATGATCTCATTCGTCATATCATATGACGCCACCATTGTAGCTTCATAAGGACATTTGCCATTTGAAATGGCGCCTCAGTGTACACATGTCCTAGTCTCCTAAGAAGGCGCCATATGATATGGCGCCTCAGTGTAATCCATTTTTTTAATCCATATTTGATGTGTTTTTAATTGTTGAATGGAATGATTATTTTTAAAGGGTAGATACACCATATCATATGGAATGGAGTCATTTTTCATAGCTCGGACACAATATTCTTTTGTACGAAAATTGTCTGCCTCTTTTAATACTCCTTCTGTTTGCAAGTATGGATTGTAAAAAATATCTGCTGATGGTTCATCTTCACCTAACTCTTTCGACCCCACCATATTCCATTCAACAGTTAAAAATAATCTTTAAAAATATGATATGGCGTATCTACCCTTTAAAATTAACCATTCCATTCAACAATTAAAAACACATCAAATATGGATTTAAAAAATGGATTACACTGAGGCGCCATAGGAGACTAGGGCATGTATACACTGAGGTACCATTTCAAATGACACATGTCTTTATGAAGCTACAGTGGTGGCGTCATATGATATGGCGAATGAGATCATTTTTCATTGCTTCATCCATATCATATGGCGCATGCATGTTGAATGAGGTCATTGTCAGGTAGCCCAAGAGGAAGTTGTGTGTGTCCAAAGTGTCCTAAACTAAGTCACGAACAAGAGTCAGACAAAAATCTCCATGCTAGGGTTTTTGTACAAAGTACGTAATCTGTTGCTCGGAAAAGTAACTAACAGTCCACCAATTTAGGCTTTTAGGATTTCGATCTTTTTAGTGTGTTTTCGAATGGTACGAACAAGGTATAAACAAGATGAGTATTATACGAACAATATAAATAATATGATCAAGAATAATATGAGCAAGATAATATTGACAAAATAGTAAAACAAGAGTATATTGACGAATAAGTAAATCAATAATATATTGACAGAAATTAAAGTTAGTGGTTAGTGATTAATTGTTAATTATCGTTTATTCGGATGAATCGGGTCAACTTTAGCGCTAAAACCATCGCAACACGATCTATGATGAAGATCATGCTATAGGAGGTCGCACAAGCTATGATATTTGTGTTAAAACACGACAGAGAAGTGATATTGTGAATCATTCTCTAAAGAAATCGTGCCACACGAAAAGAAAAAAATAACGATCTCGTCTTAATCATGTCATACCCCGAATTTGTCCTACCTTTCTTCACCTTTGTCATATCAAACTTTGCGGGTGATTATCTAAACTCTAGCCATGATCCTCTATGATCTAAGTTATGAGGATCTTGTGTGCCCTTATAAATATGTTTAAGGTCAGGAGAAAATTGTTCATCTGGAGTCATACCCCGATTTTGAGTCATATTCCAAAATGAATCCTGGTGGTATTCCAAGCGTATGCCATAGGTCATTTGAGATTGAATTGATGCAAAGAATGGATGTATGATTTTAGACCTTACGCACAATAAGTGGCTCAGTCATCATATGGTTAAAATACATAGTTTTATCCAAGGGCTTGTTCAAGACATAATAAGGCATATGGCAAGAGAGGGTTCAAATTCCATATTGTTTAAAATTTTAGAGCCAAAGTGACCAAAGTTGTTTTATGCTTAGAGAATACAAATTTAACATTGTCACCAAGGGGGCTCTTTTCATCCATATATAAAAAAAAAGAAGCTATGGCATTATTTCATAAAAAAAAGAAACATATGCAGAATTGGGGGTCACAATTTCCCACGTATTTCTAAGCTTTGCCAAGTTTTTTTACTACCCAAGTGATGATGGGGGAATTTTAGGTGGGCCATTTGAAGTTTCAAATCATACTTTTCCAACAAAAAAAAAACAGCAAGAAATAAGTGGAAAGTGAGATTAGTCTCAAGATTTAATTTGCAGATCCTATTTGGTTTCTAAACATCACTTCAGGTCCATTGTATTTCACAACAAATTTAAGAGGAGGCGTGAGATTAATTGGGTGCCATCAAGTATGTTTACCAAAGAAAAATTCATTGGTTAATCACGTTGAAATACTGTTATTGTTACAAACCTGATACAGAGTTGTTACAAGGAAAGTTTTTGCCATAAATGTTTACAAATAAGCTTATGCTACAGTTTACAATAGGATTTGTAAATATTTAAAATCACGAGCAGCCTTGGAATCGTAATTCACGCCCGAGAGGATTTGGCGCCCTCAACCGTATTTATCAGTTTTCAACACCAACTTGCCTATCATCACCAAAATTATCATACCTTCAAACCTGGCACACAAGAAAAAAAAATTAATTAAACCACAAGTTTTCTTCAGTTTCTTGTCAGCATTACGGTGTAGAAGCAACAACACTCATCCAAGCATAATATGTTTAGGATTCATTTCAAGACAACAAGACATGGGAAGTTAAGATCTTATCCAGTCATAGGGAGCCCAAAGTGTAACAGAAAATGAGGAATCATGTAATACTTACCGTATTGTTGCTCTCACTGCAAATTATTATGTGGTCCAACCACGGCTTCACACGCTGCGAGTCGTTATACGGTCTAGCCCCGTTATCAACACAAGCTCCACATCACCCTACATCAGCTCATGATTCATCTGCACAAGCCGCGCCAATAATCGTGATTCAACCGGCAGCAACACGACACGATAAGCAAAATTTGAAGGAAAAGAAAAGAGACAGTTGCAACAATTGATGATAGTACCACTTCCTGTATACAAACCGTCCATAACCATACGATTTGAGCCCAATACATGACAATCCAAGAGTGTAAGGAAAAGGAGCATTGGGATCCCTTACGCACAGTTCAAAACAAACAAAATTTGAGTAGGAAATTCACAAGAGGGGCCAACGTAAAACCGTACGATCAAGATTAATGACAGCCACATATTCTGGCATTTATCAGTGACCATACAACTTGCCTCCAATTTTGTTACATTAAAGCCACTGCTCTTGCAGCAGTACATCCAAAAGCCACATAACCTGCACAAAAGCAACAAAAGTGACACAATACATAATATTTGGAGATTAAAATAACAAAGTCAACCATACAAAGCCCCTTCACATCATCTTGGCACTTGGTATGTGCAAAAGGACAGGTCCCACGAGAACCAAAGTAGCCAATGCTGTATACGGCAGCGGCAGAATTTTGTAAATTTAATTCATGGTCTGCAAAAAAGAAAAAAAGAAAATCAAAAGTTATAGCCTTGGTACCAAAGAACAAAACCATAAAAATCAACCTGTGCAAATTCAGCAACAAGTCATTACGCGCCCCAGGTCCCACTTCAAGATAATATTACCAACATAATTCATAAACTCACAACCAGCCAACCAAGCACATGTCGAATATGTGTAATAAAATTGCTCACATAACAACAATGTTTTTCTCAGCAAAAACATACAATTCCAGAGCATCAAAACCTGCTCCAATTCTGCAGAGCTCCAACCTGTGCCGTCCTACAACCGTACACTCCCGTTTTTTCCATTTCACAATATCCATAATATCCTGCAACATCAGTAAACTGTTACACAACATGATAACAAAAATTCACAATGAAATGAAACCAATATTAACAAAATTTTATCAGCACAGCCATTTCCTGCACAAACCAAACCGTACCTGCTACTACCTCACAACACACCAG